GAGGGAGGCTTCAGGATAGACTCACTCCTAAATGAGGGAAGTTAGTGTTTGCATCACTGTCTCCTGCTCTACGATGTGCTAGCATGCAAGGTTTTTGGGTACATGTGATAACTTTTATCAGACCAACTAAATAGTTGAAAAATTTTTTTTTGCAAGCTGTCAGGCACAAACACCCTTTTTCAGGCACTGAGAGACTCTGCTGCTATTATGCATTCTCCAAGGCAGAAAAGAAGGTAAATGCAAATAAGTGGAAGTTTGGAAGACAATGGGTAGAGATAGGAGGGGAGGGTGGGGGGAGGGAAATGCAAGTGGTCAGCTTGGGGCAGGTGACCTGTTGTGTCAGATGTCAGGCAGGTTGTAATGTGTCATAAATCCAATGTCTATATTAAGTCCGTGATTTTTTGTATCCAGTAGATATATGAAGTGAAGCTCATAGGCTCATCTTTGAGAGGTGTTTTTTAAGTTCTCTTTGCGGATTAGAACTGAGAGATCAGAGAGGGAGTGATTGTCTTGTGAGAAGTGGGCACCCACAGGCAGGATATTTTTGTCTTTGATGGATTTTTAGTGTCCTTTCTCTCTGGTACACAGTTGTTATTTGGTTTCTCCTACATATTTTCCACAAGGGCATTTTCTATCAGGGCAGCCTGCCTCCCCCACCCTCTTCTCAGGGCAGGACAGACCAGGCTGCTGGCAACACCTGTACACTTGTAATGTCTGCCATGGCTCCAAACCCCACTCTTCTGCTCCTCTCTTTCTGCAGGCCAAAAGCTCTGCTGCCCAGGCCATGGCACCCAGGTTTGGGGCACATGGGGCTCCCAGACAACTGAGGCAAGGGGCTGCCAATACCCCCACCCTCCACACAGGGAGCCTCTCCAGACAAGCACCCTGGAGCCATGACCCTCCCTGAACCACTGCTGCACCCCAAGCATGCCCCTCCCATGTGTGGCCCGGAAGGTGCACAATGAGCTGTTTTGTGCAGGTTGAGGGGTGCCCAAGCTACTATCCCCTGCTGTGGCTGATCCTCCTGGTGCCCCAGGCATACTTGCACTTCTGGTTTGGGACCCTGTACTGCAACGGTGCGGGTGGCAAGCTTGAGCTACCCCATAACCTCCACTGCCACCTGGAGGGCTACCTGTCACAGTGTTACACGTCCCTGCCACCAGCTGCCAAGGAGGACATCACTGCTAGCATTGATGCCTTCCTTGGCATGTGAGAGGCCTGTGTCCACCTAGCTGTGGGGACACGGGCTGCTCAATAAAATTCTGAAGTGTGTCTTTCCTGTTTGCGTGCTGTGGGAGGGGAAACCTGGGGCCAGGGGACTGCAGGTGGGCCAGACAGGGAGTGGGGGCAGGGGCAGAACTGGGAGGGCCCTTCCCCTCCCCCAGTGCAGGACTTACCACATATCCAGGGCTGGCAGCTTGGCATGGGCCTCTGCATCGGTGACAGTGTCTGGCTACGTCCAGTAATTGACAAATGTAATTAATGTAAGATATTATATGACCCACAGTGTAATTAATGTAACATATTATCTATGGCCCACAGTGTGCAGCAGGCTGGCACCTGGCCAGGGTGCCCTCCGGGGAGGAGCTGGTACTGGCTGGCCACTCCTCGTGCTGGTGTCTGGGGCTGCACCAAGGGTGGGGCAGTCACTGAGTCAGTCTCTCCAAGCTGCCAGTGGATGCAGCAGCCAGGCAGGAGGATAGGGCAGGGTGCTGAAGGCCTGAGGTCACCTCCTCCGGTCACGTGTCACCAGAGGTGTCAGGGCAGGGCAGGGGCTTGGGCAGGCAACCCCTGCTGGTGGCACTCGCAGGGGTGTGGCGTGGCTCCCAGGGCACCAAAATTCTGGTCAGCTCCCACATAAAGGACATAGACTTTTGGGCATGACTGGACCGACAATTGAAACTAGTCACGGCCATCTTCTGTGCCCACAAGACTTTGACCTTTATATGCCATGCTGACTGAGAGTGCCCTCGCTCCTGCCTGACAGGGCCTCATAAATGTGGGCCTTTGAGCTTCCACCCTGTGAACTGCTTCTGCACATTGGCATGGCCCCAAAGCACCACAAAATCACCCACCTTCTCCTGGGTCCAGTTGGGGGCCCTGGTAGTTGGCATGGGCATGCACGTGTGAGTGGGGCCGGAGCTTGACAGGGAAGAAGACAACATCATGGTTGTCCTGCACTGGCTCTCTGGGCCTCTGTGTGACTATCCCTGCCAGCAGTGCCCAGAACAGAGGCATGGCCAAGGACTAGAAGCCATGCTGTGGAGGCATTTCACCACAATTCCTGCAAGCACAGGAGACAGCTAGGAGTGAGCAGCAACAGGGAGCAGGTGCTGGCTTTATTGTCAGAGACAGCCAGGCAGCAGCACTGGGGGGATCTCTGGGCTGGGTCAGGGGATGCAGTAAGCTGTAGCCCTTTACAACACTTACCTGTGGCCAGGTAGCAGGTCTGGAAGGGGGCAGGCCAGGCGGAGACAGCTTGTGGCCTCTCCAGGAGGGTACATGAGGCCTGCTGAGCTCCTGCACAGATCAGCAGTCTTGTCCAGGCTCTTGGTATGTGTGTCCCAAGGCACAAAATGGCTTCTGGCTTTTATAGGCTGTAGCTAGGGGCTGCCAGAGAACAGCCCAGCCCTGGGGGATTAGAGGCGGCTAGCCAGGAGTTAGTGCTGGGTCACGTCTACACGTGCACTAATGTGCTTTAACTAATCATACTTAAATCATGCATTTGCAGGTAATACATTTAGGCACAATTAGCCTATATTTCCCATTTTAATGCTTATTAAGGACATGACTGTGTAGATGCACACCTTTAATGAGCATTAAACTACGCTAATGCACATGAACACGTCTCCTGTTTACGCGCCGAAAGGGAACAAATACATTTATGGATGATAGATCTTTCTATTGATGGCTATTGAACAAAACAGTTAGAGATGTTTCCTCTGGCATCTCTAAACCAAAAATGGTGGATGCCAGGGACGGTATTGAGTAGGGGATAAATTCCCTCTATAGCATCCACCCCTGCCATTGTCAGGGACAGATTACTGGGCTAGACAAGCCATTGGTCTCACCCAGTATGGCACTTCCTATGCTTTTAATTGTATGTTGCTGTGTTTTGAGTTTGTTTTTTGTTTTTCTTTGGGGGGGAGGAAGAGGAATTGTTGGATATTATTAGTTGTTGAAGTCTCCATCAAATAAGTGCATTTTGCTAACAGAATGGATCCTGCAGGAGTTCTTCCTGTCATTGTGGACAGGTCCTAATAAGGCTTTGTCTCTTGCACAGACAAACTTTTCTCCTCAGAATAGACAAATGCATGGAGCTGAATGGATCTTAGTGTTTTAGGTGGAGTTTTTTAAGATCTTTGACTTAAGCCATTAAGGTCCTTGAAGTTTAGAACCAAGCTCTTAAATGTGATGTTCTATAGAGAGCCAATATTGTGAGCAGAAGAAAAGTGTTTGCGGTAACTTTTGTTGTATAGGAAAAATACTCTTATACTAACTAGTTTTCTAAAGAATTACAGTTTCATGCCTGAGTAGAATACATTGGTGTAGTTCTGCTAGGAGGTAACAAATGTCTATGCTGCTAGAGATCTGTCATGCTTCCACATCATGCAGTGTTCAGACACGATAAAATATTTCTTTTTTTTCTGGTGAGCACTTTTATTTTGCAGCGTAGATTTTTTCTTTTGTATTTTAAACATGTGACAAGTAAAGAAGAACACAACAAACAAAATTTACTTTTCAATTAATTATTTGTATATATTGGGCTAAGTTTCTCCTCATATCCTATGCATTCTCGTTGGGCATTTACGCACATACTTTTTCGCGCTGTGACACACTAGGGATGTGATGCATCGAAGAAGACTCGATTAATCGTGTCTGCTCCGCAAACGAGTTGACACACACCACACTGCAATGTGTGTGGTTGTATTAGTGGTGAAATGCATGTCAGTGTGGAGAAAATGGCAGCAATGCACTTTTGAACTAAAATACCATCAATATGTTTTAGTTCAAAAGTGGACCATGCCATGCCATTTTCTGCATGATGACGCACATTTCAGCACTTATACAGCTGTATGCAGTGCATGCATGTGTAAAAATGCCCATTATTTCTCCCCAAATAACTTCTTGTCTGTCCCACTAGCTTCAGTAGATATTAAAACTAGTTGATGTGGCTACTAAAACTAGTTCTGTGAGTCTAACTTACTCTGGCTAACTGGTGAGTCTGCAGAATAACTCTGTATCTCTCCATAAGATTTTAAAGCTTAGAACAAAGCTTATTTATCAAAGCTGTTTTGATTAAAAATGAAAAAAAATCTTGATGCAGAATAGAAGACGTACATCTTCTACATTTTAGGTGGACAACGACTTAACTACTGGGTTAGAAAGTCAAGCCCACACACTTACTAGCCAACTGAATATTTAGTGCACAACGGACCAATTTCAATGGGAGGGACTGAGAGAGCTTCACTCAAGAATGCCCACTAGTCTGGAGGTCAGACTACTCACTTGATTCATGAGGCAAATCAGTCAGACTAAGAGCTTGACTTTGGTCTTCCCCCACTACAGTTGACACCCTACTCACCAAACCATTGCATGTGTTGGGAGAAGGGGTTTAATGCATTGCTTGTTGGCATTTTTTTAAGTCTAACTTTCATTCTATAGCCTAATGGAGACAAATATTGACACTGCATTTTTTTAAAAAACAAAACTAGTTTTCTAGCCATCCCTAGTACTGATCTGGTTTTGTCAAATGAGAAGCAAGGAAATGTTTGATGCCAAAATTTGAAATAGTAATAAATGTTAACTCTCGAAGTCAGTTTGACTACATTTTTGCATACTTTCCTAGTCATTGTATTAGGAAAATGCTAGACACAGGATATATTCAGTTGGAATTTGGTTTGTGTACAAAGAATCTCTTTAACATTTATTTTGTAGCTAAAATGCTTGATATAGAGGTCTTAATCTTTTACTAATATTATTATTATTATTTATTGCAGGTGACTTATGAAATTGCTGGAGCAATTGTGAAAAACAAAGATTCCCTTTCACAAAATCTCCTATTTGTAATGAAAAGTAAGTGGTGGTTTTGTTTTTTGGATATTTTGTGGGGAGAACACATTATGCCTTATATTTTGTAATCATTACCGTACTCATGGAAATAACTGAAATCTGCATTTATTTTAAATGCCTGAAATCATCATCACCAGCACCCTCATCGCCGTCTTATTAACATATTCTAAAAAATGTTTAACGTGTATAAATATAAAATACCTCTAAATGGTGTTGACTAAGATTTTTTACATTAAATACTTACACTTTTGTAAAGACTAATGAAAATAAGGTTTTCAAAGCAGAATATATTTCCTAACTTAGGTGCAGCTACTAAAAATGGGAGTTTTATGGGGGTGCTTTTGTAAATAGCTGCAAATATCCTGGGCACATAAAGGAACATATAAATTTGATTCAGTGTACTTTCTTACAGCTGTATGTCTAAAAATAACTATGTATTCATCCTTGTTTGTTTATTAATTATTCATAATCAGGTAATAAAAAATCTATGATCTTATATTTACTCTTTTAGCAAAAAAATACTTTCCTCAGGGAAATTATAGTTTGTCTTCCCACAGAGGTTTCCCCCCACCCCTGAACACTGCAGACTATTCTAACTAATATATCATATATATTATTCCCACAGAGGTTTCCCCCCACCCCTGAACACTGCAGACTAATCTAACTAATATATCAGATATTTTATATATTTATATTTCTTTCCACAGAAATAGGGGTCTTTCAGAGGTCATATTTGTCTTCAGAATCAGCAGTGCTGTTACATTTTTATTGGCGTTCTAGCAATTTTACTGTGAAATTAGCCAAACTACCCAGTAAAATCACTGATGCATTTTAAAAGCAAACAGTATAATACTATGGATAAAGAATGAAATAAAAAAATTGATCTTGAATATATTCCTATTGATTATAGTTTTAGAAATAGTTTAGCTCTCACTTGTCTGAACTTATTTGTGAATTATAATGTTTCTATTCTTTCCAGTTATTTATGATAATCTATTACACAGTGTCAGTCATATCAATCCTGTATTTTCCCAAAAGTATTATTTCTTTTTTATATGTTGTCATCTTGGCTTTTCATTTCTGTTAGAGAATTAAGTATATAGTCATTATAAAGGGAAAATGGGATTTGAAATATGATATAAGGTCTTTCATAACGTTGAATGTGAATGCTAATACTGTTTGTATAATTAAAAAGTCAAATAGCAATAGACATAATTAATTGAATAAGACCAAGTGTAATCTAAAACATTTATATGACTTAGGAGCCTATGAGAGAAATTAAAATCAATATTGTAGACATCTGCTTTAGGCATTGCCGTGCCTAAAAATTCAACCCCTTGCCCTAAGGAAGTGATACAGTTTGGCAGGGTTAGCAGATTAGGAAAATGACTGAGGACATACATACACTCCATCATCTTGGGATACAGAGCGCCCAGAGTGGAGGTACCTACCTTACAGACAGCAGCCTTAAATTCAGTATTAACTGCAGTACCTTGGACTGAATGTTCTAGTTGTGAAATCTAAAGCTAGTCCTCCTAAGACTGAGAGGATTCAAACATGTATCTTTGTAGAATCTTAGAAAGTGAGGGATAGAAGGGACCTCAGGAGGTGATGTAGTCCAATCCCCTACTCCAGATAGGAGCATTTCTATCTAAATCATCCCAAACAAATGTTTGTTTACCAGTAGTTAAAAACATATGATTCTTGGAATTCTATAATCTCTCTAGGTAATTTGTCCAAGCATTTTACCACACTCATAGTTAGAATAGTCTACCTTATATCAAACCTAAACCTTTCTTGTTGTAAGTTAAGGCCGCTATTCTATCTCCAGGAAACACAGAGGACAACTGGCTGATATCCTTTTGTACTTGAAGACTGTTATTAAATTCTCTATCAACCTTCTTTTCTTCAAACAAAGTAATCCTTATACTTCTAGCCTTTCCTCATATGTCATGTTTTCTAGACTTCTGATCATTACCTTTGCTCTTTTCTGGACTCCTTCTAATATGTCTACATCTTTAAGTGCAGTGCTCAGAACTGGAAACAGTATTCCAGGTGAAGCCCTGGATAATTTATTATTTGTTTGTTTAAAATATGTTTATATAGTGTTTACTGCAGTAGACCCTTGATCTTCATTGGCACTTCCAATGTGCTACTTCAGTACAAGTAGTAGTAGTAGTTGTTATTAACACTAACAATAATAATAGGAAATATATCACTATTCCCATACTATCTGAAAAGGAGATTTTAAATACATTTAAATAAAAAACAGCAAAGAAGGGAATTGGTGGGCACATAGACACATGCAAATAATGTGGCAGTAGTTTACTTACGAGTAAACTACTTGAGAGTAAATGCTAATGAGCATATGTCTACATGTGCAGGGGCATAGGAGCAGATTTTCTGCTTCTAGCAGCAGACTAGTCCCACTCCCTGTGGCCCTGCAACAGAATCCTGCAGCAGCCAGGGTGAGCTCTAGGCTTCCCCTGCATGGTAGAAGCTGCCTGCTGCTGAGGTGGGCTCTGCCACCAGAGCCTGAGTGGGGCCAACAACGCCCTACCCCAACAGCAGGGAGCTCCCAGCCCCTGCTCTGTGTTCATGAGGCCTGGGCCAAGAGAACCTTCTCCTCCAGCGCCAGCTCTGTGGTTACAGGACCAGTACTGAGAGAGAAGGACCATGGGACTCAGGCAGGGAGATAAGGATGCTTCTGGGGCAGGGGGACATTGTGCCTGTCTGGGCTCCAGTGGCAAAGACTGCCATGGCAGCAAGCAGCTCCTGGGGCAGGGAGCAATCTACTGCCCCCTGCTGCCCAGCTGACTGGGAGCCCATTTGCTCAGGCATCTACACATGTGCTACTCCACAGTAAGTAATCTCCAGTAAATTTGCTATTTACATTTGCAGGTAGCAAATTTACTCGCATTGATAGCCAATGACTGCACCGTAAGTGTCTGCACATGTAGATGCAGACAATTACTGTGCAGTAATTAGCTCTGCTGTGCAATAAAGAGTCTCATGTGGAGTCTCAGTAACCATTAGCAGGTGAGTATGTAGAGAAATTCCAAACTACAGCATAAGTTAAAATGTAAACTATTTGCTCGTAATGCTAAAATCTTGAACTAGGTCTCTCTTACAGAAACACGTACACTACCTTAATAATTGGTTACGAAGTCATTTTCTGTTTTCTCATATTAGATCTGCCTGAACATTCACCCAGTTCACCTGAGTTCTAGGTGGTCCTCAGCCTCAGGGATTTCAACCCACATATCCCTTTTTGAAGGGAAAGGGCCATGCATTCTGGCTGCAGTGTGGCAGAAACTACCCCACTGCTGTTTGTTTTATGCAATGAATTTTAAATGCAAGATGCAGAAAAGGCCTTAGGGGCAAGGGACAGATCCCAGTGCCCGATCCCTTCTAAAGCAGTGGCTCTCTCAGACATGCACTCCCTCTGCCTTAAGCTCCTCTTCTTTTCCCCTCATATCTTTGTCTCTTGGCTACCCCACGGGTCAGCTGCTGGAAGAGGGCTGTAAAATGCTCTGTGCAGTGCTTAGCCCATGACCTTGTAGTCTTCACGCCTCCTTGGAAAGGTGGGATGCAGGTTCAAACCCTTGCCGGATGAGGGAGCTTGGGACAGTCTGGGCAACTGTCGCAACCTCTGGGAGGACCTCCATTTTGCTTCAGCCAGTTACTTATGTACCTGGGGGCGCATCTATATGAGACATTTACTGCAGCTACCTAATTAGCTCTGCAATAAATGTCTTGGTGGCTACACGTGCACAGCTATTAGGCTGGAGTAAACTAATATACTCTGCAGCAACTTTTTACTCTGCAGCACGGTATGTGTAGATGCTGATGAGGCTGGCTGGGGCACAAGGATGCTTTAGTGTGGGAATTGACTGCCAGCTAGCCCCACACTGGAGCAGACTTATACCCCAGCCAGCCCCTCCACAGCACACTGGGCCAGGTAGGAGCAGCCTCAGGCTGGCAGATGGACCTCCCGGCCCCCTGCCAGCTGGGGCTAGTTTAACCCGGCACAACATGCTGCAGTCCCGGGTGCACGTTCACATGGTGTGCCCAGGAGCAATAAATTCTGACATAATAAGCACAAGAGTTTATTGCTGCATGGTAATAGCACATGTAGACATGCCCTGGGTAATTCTATTCCACCCTATATGGGAATAGTATGTAAACGCAACAAATGTAAATGCTAGGAACTGCAGTTATACAGCTATGCAAGAGCCACTTAGGTGCATAAAGGCAAAATAGGTTTCAGCCCTAAGTAACTAAATAGTATACCAGTATCAAAAAAAAAATATATATATATATAGATATATATATATATGCACAAGTAATCATAACCTAAGCTCTGAGGTTTACACAGACCTGTAACACTGGATCTGATTTATATTGCTTACTGCCCCATTCTGGTCAATGTAAGTACATTTTAACTTGAGCAAATAAATAATTTTAAAAAAAGTTGCTGATGGCTGCCATTGTTGGATAATTGAATGCTACTGGACTTGCAACAGAATAGCTAACAATGCATACAAGAAAAATGTAATAAGCTGTTCATCTGAAGTAGTTTAAGCCTCCTCTTGTTTAATGCTGTCTCCCAATGTGTGTCTTGTTCCTTTCAAGCACTGTGTGTATAATTTTCCCACCTGTATTTTATCTCTATGCATTTTCTTTTTCTCCCAGCTAGTGAAAATGTAGTCATCAATCACTTGTTCCAGTCCAAACTGACACAGACAGGCTCCCTTGTCCCTCCATATCATTCACTTAAAATTAGAGGGTCCAAAGCAGCCTTGCTCAGTAAGAGACCTTCAATAACCTACACAACTGGAGAAGCAAAGAAATACACAGAGCTGAATAAGGTAAGAATTTGGAACTCTTTTTTTCCCCTTAAAGAATTAGTCTTTTCTCAATTACCAAAAAGTTAAAGACATCTGAACATTTCAGAATGCTTCTTATATTCTATAGCATGTGCAGTACTTTAATTTTGACTTGCATGTTGAAATAATCAATCACACTATTTTAATTGCAGCACAGCTAAAGGAACTATACAATAGCACTATTGATTAAAGAATCTCTGAAATCCACTTTTCTCAAACCTATACAGTAGTGCATACAATATTACTAATTTTATTAGCTGCATGGGGAATACTTTCTGCTTCAACTGTTTAGCTGCCTTTGAAATGAAAAGAAAATTTAAGGGACAGAAAAATCTAGAGGGATAAACTCAACTTGTGGAATACTAGCCTCCTATTAGAGCTGCATGTAAATTACATTGCAGGTTATAATTTACTGGCAGTATGATCTCTAAAATGGAAGAGACACATAATTCAAAAATGGACTTACACTCTCTCCTGTAGCTTAATTATCTTCTCTTCCCAGACTTTTTAGCCTTGTTCAGGATATCAACTTTCCCGTTGTGTGGCTAAGCCTGTTTCTGCAAAAAAAGAATCAGAAAAGTAGACACAAATTATCAGTAAAAGCTTTTCCCTCTGACTCTTCTTGTTGCTTGTCCTAATAATTTCTGTTTCTCTTGATTAGTGGGCTATGAATGCAGCCATTGCAAGGCTTTTGGAAAGTATTCAATATAGGGCTCTACTTGTTGTGGAAGTAGAGAAAGATTGATGGTCTTCTCATACTAGGAGTGATAGAACTAGATGTGCATACTTTCTCTTTAAATCTAGTAGAGGTATGTGATTTTCAAGCATAAAACTTCCTTGGCAAAGATATATTTGATTTCTGTGAGGAGCTTAAAGGAGATTTGGAGTGTTAGGTGGAGAATTAAGACATGATTTGATGCAGACTTCTTCCTGAATCAAAGCCAGAATCTTCCTTTTTTTTGTGTTTGTTTTAATTAAATTCACCTTCTGTTTCCATCTCCTTAGTTTCTTTCCTCTTTACTGTCCCTGTCCCACCCATTCCTTTCTCCATGGGAAGAAGTACAGTCTGCAGCATATTACAACAGACTGGGTTACTATCCTGCTCCTGGTTCTACCACTGATTGGCCTTGATTTGTGTACATGCTCCAAGTGTTCTACCCACCTTTTAAAAACTTTTTTGAGATCTGTTGTTGACCAGCATTATGTAAATACTAAGTGTTATTATGAAGAAATGTGAAACCCAGTAGACTTCCAGTCTTTTTTAGGATGGAAATGAGTTTTCCTTTTAAGTTCTGTTCAGTTCTGGCTTGTGAAATTTGAAAGCAGAACAGGTCTCACATCCAGCACAGCAAGTAGGGAATTGCTGGGAAATGCATTTTTTTTCTTTTAAATAGGTTGGGTCTGGTTGAGATCAGATGTGAAGATACCCATATCTTTTGGTGTGAATTGAAAGGATACAATTAAGCCAAAACATACTGAGTCATACTGGAATAGAGGTTTATAAATTATGGCCAAGTGGACAGGAGAAGAAAGCGAATGAAAGAGGGTCACAATTGAAGAGACTGTCAACAATTATAGATTACTTCAACCAATAGTTGTTTAATCTTCTATGGTCATGACCAAACTTTAAAATATATTGGTTCTGCTAGCCTCATTTTAGAAAGCTCAACAAGAAGCCAGTTTCTTCAGGCTATTCCTAAAACTAATCTTTACAAGATGTCTGTGAAATATACAAAGTAGAAAAGTTAAAATGTTTTCTAAGTTTGCTTTTCAATGTTTATTGAGAGAGAAGTTAGCACTGGTTCTTATATAAGAAATAACTGCTCATACTAATTATATATATTAGAGTAAAAAATGATATTCATCTATACAGGACAAAGAAGTAGTGAATGAACTCTGGGCATCACATTTAAAAATGTTATAATTTATGAGGATTATCAGTGATATGCATGACCATTCACACCCCAGCCCTTCTTACATAAGGAAGTAATCTTATTCTATTAATATAGAAATGATATATTATGCTTAATATCCTGTCCTTGATAGCATAATAACATCCCCAGGTTCATGTTACTTTTCTTATCTCTAAATGAAAATGAGTATATATGCACACTTTACTAATATTTGACCAAAGATTACATTTATATGCTATACTCAAATGAAATGTGTGTATATGATAGTACATGTCTACTTCCAAAATCAAAACTTTGTTGCCAGCCATTCCTATGCAGATTTCTTTGGTTATTTTGCCATTCTCCTGGCAATTTTTGAAAATCTAAACTTACGTCATTTGTCCGTGTGTCATGTGATGCTGACTCAGGTCTTTAATTCCTTTATCAATGACCTTCTTTAATAAAGAAATATATATATATATATATTTGCCTATGTTGAGATTAAGGTAGTCCATGTATACTTTTCTTCCCGCAGTTGTTGAAAAAGAAAGGTACTTCTACATTTCTTCAGAGACTGGAACGAGGGGGCCCAATCACTGTGGCAACACAGCTCAGGGTTAGTGAACATTTACTGGACAAAATTTTATAGAATAGTTTTAAGCACAGAATGAGGCTCTACTGTTTACAAAGGCCAGCAGAAGCATGATTTGCTTGAATAAGCAATTTGTGGCTTCAGGTCAAGCCTTTTAAAAAATGATGTTGAGAAATTTGCAAAAATGTATTTGTGTTATGTTATGGAACTGATTTCAGTGCAGACTAATGGCCATTTGAGAACTTGTTGGGTTTTATTTCTCTCCACAGAAATCACTAGCAGATATTATTGGGAAGCTTCAGAACTGTACGCCGCATTCTGTTCATTGTATCAAACCCAATAATTCTAAACTGCCGGATACTTTTGATAATTTTTATGTGTCGGCTCAACTGCAGTATATTGGTGTCCTAGAGATGGTGAAAATCATACGCCATGGATATCCAATACGCCTCTCTTTCACTGACTTCCTGTCAAGGTAAATCCTTCTGATCTTGATAAAAGCATTTTATTATCTATACTGCAGTGCCTTTTGTCTAGTTGCATAAGTGTTTGCAGAGTTGTTCTGTTGATGAGTCTTTCAGATTTTCTATAGAGAAAAAGTACTTGAGCTGACAGAAAGCACAGTTTTTAAACTGAAGGAACTGTGAACATCATGAAAAATACCTTGTTATGAAATATTTCCTGATAGGTCAGGTATAAATGATAGACCTTAGCAGCACAGATATATGAAGTGCTAGTATACTACTGCCATGTGATTAAAAAAATAGAACAGGAAATGGTCATATCTCTTCCATTGATAATTTTCTAGCTTATTATTATGTGCTCATGATGTCTGGTGTTTTATTTCAACTGCTGGGATTTATTTTGTGTTGTGTGTGGTGAGTAGTGTTAAGAATGTATGCTATAATTCCACTTTTTACTGCTGTAGTCAGAAAAAAGGGAACGTTTGAAAAGGTGTGGCCAGTAGCATAACTAAGGATAGGTGAGAGGGGCACTAGCTCTGGGCACTAATTTAACAAGGAGCACCAGAATCACCTCCTACCCCCATAAAGTCCATTTCCCAGCAACAAAAGGAGCCCCATGGGATTGCTCTGGAAGCAGCAGCCAGTAGGGTTACCAACTCTGTTTGAATCTATTCCAGGAGGTTTCTAGAATGCCAATGTGCCTACAGTACACAACACAAATGTGCCTGCGTGCTTATGTATATCAGTTATGGATTATGGTGCATAGACTTTGTCAAGAATGCAAATGCACATTACTATTACATTTTAAAAACCTGTTGGACTACTGTATAAATCAAATTCAATATTTAATATTTATTTTAACGAAAGCCCTCTCATTTATCTGCTGGGTGAGTCTCAGCAGTCTCCTGGAGATATATATCTAATTCCTGGAGACTCCAGGGCAAACCTGCAGGGTTGGCAGCCCTAGCAGCCAAGTTGCTTCACAGTCACCTTGTTGCTGCTGTAAAAGCAAGACCAGGGCAGGCACACCATGCTGCTGCAGCAGCAGCCAGGGGCTGTTTCTGAGTCCCTGGCATAGGTAAGACTTGTGTATACCGCCCCCACCCCTCCACTCTGAGAAGCCCTACCCCTCCAACATTCAATGGCATCTCCCTACCTCTACCCTTTACTCTCCTGCAGGGTTTTCCTGGGTTCAAACCCTGCTCATTACACCTCTGGGTGTGACCAAGGGGAGGTGGGAGGAGAAATTTGTCACTACTATTATGAGCAAACCATCCTTTTCTCTTTCCAGTCTCCAGTAAGTTCATGTGTATTCATTTCATGGGCTTGTTTTAACACCACAGGTACGTTGTCTAATTAGAAGAAATACAAGGAAAGCACAGGCATACTATTTCTTATTCAGAGAAAGAAAAGAATTTAGAATAATAATTATAATGACTATTATAATAGCAATAACTACCATATTTATTTGAATATAAGAGCATGGGAGAAAAGCATATAAGAAAACTGTGTTAAATACATTGCTTATCTTTGAACTGCTGCTGCTAAAAGTAGCATGAGCTCAGTAATGGTAGTCAGTGTGCGCTCAGGAAGAGCACACACCAACTGCAGATGCTTCCTCAGCCTCACAAAGGGTTTTTAAACCCGAAAGCTTGCTAAGAAAATTTTTCCAGCTATTTAAGTTGGTCTAATAAAAGATATCAGATTCGCCCTTGTCAAAGATATCAGATTCACCCTTGTGAATCTGAAAGAACCTCGTTTGCCTATGTCCTTAGACCAACACAGCTACATCCTACATCCCTGATCTCAATAATGGAAGCAAACTATGAACCTGATTAAATGCAGCCAGCACTGAGAATGACTATAAAGTACAAAAATGCTGATGGGAACCTTTTTTTTTTTTTTTTTTTTTTTAAATAAATGTTATTAAAAACACACTTAGTACCCTACACTCACAAAGCTTACACATACGGAGCATCCTTGTTTTACTGAGACTTCATAGTACAGAAACAACTACATATCAAAAACATACTGCTACATATATTAAACCCTTAAATAGCATGCATCAACTTCCCACAAAAAACAAACCCTTACAGAAATCTTTTTCTTCATACAAAACTCAACGAGCAAGGCTACCACCTGAAACTCCTGCCCCTCCCATCAGTCCTCCCTGTTCATTTAGTGAAACAAGTGTGTTCAGTCCTTTTTCCTCCACTTCTTCTCAGTCTCTTACTCTCCAATCTCTTCCTTGTCCCAGTCAATATATTATTTCAGTTCATGCAGCCCCACCTTCAGGCACTCTTTTTCAGTGAAAGCCAACCCCTGAAACACGCAGAGGCTTTTTACTTTCTATAAATTAGTTTTAACACCTGTTAATGAAGTCCTTAATAATGTTTCCTTTGGCCCTTTGGCATAAGTCCACATAGTACCATCTCCAACACTGATAGCAGGTTTTTTTTGGTGACACAGAAAGTGGCAGACCCTTTCCCACACCCACTTTGCATATGTCCCTTCCCCAAACACATCCCACTGTTTTTTCTTCCCCACACTTCTCCTTTGTGCACCTTGATGAGCTTGTCTGTATTGCACTTCTGTCACTGGCAAATAATTTCTTACAACCATCCACGCTAGGTCAGCATATTTACCTTTTAGTTGTTTACGCACCACTCTTCCCCACGCCTTCTTCACTTGTCCATCTGTGAAGTTTCACACAAGCACACTGTCTCTCCTTTACTGCTTTCATCAATTTCCTATGATCCTTCGGGACCTCCAGCCCTACTTTCTCTATTTTATACCTTTGCATGAATCCTTCCAACCTGCTGTAATGAATCAGCAGTTGCCAGACCCATGGTTACCACACCTGTTTGGTAAGAGACTGGTATTCAAACTGGGACCATTTAGTCATAGAAGTGTTTGTAGAAATCTGATCTTAGTAGTAGTGTAAGGCTGAGTTTGGGATTAATTTATATCTTGCCCCATTAAGATGTTCAGTTCAGCTAAAGTCCCTGGGCTATCATATGTGAAAAATATCATCACCATTTGATGACTGTACTCAGTACAGCTCCTCCTGTCACCAAGGCTGAATCTTGTATTATTTTGACTGACAGAAAGTGAACCTTCCTAATACCTACCAGGACCAAGAAATCTTTATATTTCCCTATAATTTATTGGGGTAAAGCAGCTTGTTTAGGATAAGAGTCCAGCATAATGTCCGGCAAATAGCAGTAGATTTGTTCTGATGAGTTCTGTCAAAACAACTGAAATATCTAAGTTTAAGGGATTGCTGTGAACTGCAGAAATGATATGATGCCAACTCTTAATTTTTATTTTTATTTCTTAGCCAATAGGATAGAGGTAAGAAAGACAAGATGACTCATTGAACCTAGAGATAATTAGTTGTCTTCTCAGTCTTACTAGATCTTCCACTGGTCTGCTTCAGTGCAGTCTTACTGATTGTTTTGAGGAGATATTTTAAATCTATAAAATGCTGATGTTGGATTCTCTGATTTGGAGTTGGTAAGTGACTGACTGCTGACTCTTCTGCCCGACTTTGGACATTTTTTAGGGGTATATATCTACAAATGATTATGGGAAATGTTGTCATGAATTTTAATAGATACAAAGTTGACATCTATCATATGATTAGATCCTGGAAAGAGCATTCCCCACTTTATACCTCCCCACATTCTTCCCTAGAAGATCAAAGGCATTTTTTAGGACTGTAATAACTTTATCACTGCTTCATCATTGCTGTTTCCTGTTTTTTTCCCCCATGACAGCTTCCTCTAATTTACCTGTTTACAATCAAGCACAATAATTTCAGTTGTATTAGAGGTCAAATGATGTAGATATAGCTGATATTTTTATACCTCTAACTTAGATTTGAATTTGTGCCCAGTCTCTGTTATAAGATCCTCATGGTCCAAGGAAAAATACTTCCTTCTCCATCTTAGTCCTGGCTCTTCTACTACTTACTATGGGACATGCAACTCAATATTTGTTTTGGTTTGTGGGGTGATGCCGTTTACACACAGCCTGAGTTAGACCTTTAATTCTATGTATATGAAATGAGAGGCATTGATCCATATCCTGAGATTCTCGTGCTCCTCTATCTAACTACAGTACTCAATCAAAAATAAGTATCCATATACAGAGTTACACTAAAACAACTGAAGTGTGACTGATGCAGTGACTTTGGTTCATGTGTATTAGCAAATACAGGAACCAGTCTTCTTGACTTCTAGATGAGGGTTGAATCAGGCAGATGGTTAGTGAAGATATGTGTGCTAGAGAAAGATAATAGGCTAGAAAAAAGCCTGAGACACATTGGAGAGTTGTTGTGGCCACTTCACAGAACCACAGTCTCAAAATTGCTATGATTGTCAGATTTGCCCATGAAACCCAGAGACTCAAGAAATGAGTAATTAATGTATCTGAAGATTAATTATGTGGAGAAAGAAAATAGTTATACTTCATTTGTTTTGTGAATATGTGAATCTAGTTACTTGTTTGACATTACAGCCAAAATTAGATTTTGACTTTAAAGACTTAAATAAAAGGAGGCTATCAGGTAACAAACCTAAACAGACAGTAATAAAGTATACCATCAGGATAAAAATTGGTATACTAGACTTAGGAATAAAAGGGTTGACAATGGCACTTTCAAAAAGCCCTTTCCAGTTTTCCTTTGATTGGCAGAAATGCAACAGATGTAGCACTATGTTCAGCTGCAGTAGATATTGTGTTAGTATTGCAAGGGAATCTCCTTCTCAGGTTCGCATTCGCATTATGTTTACACATTTCTCAGGTTTTATCAAATGGAGTAGTAAAGTATAATAGTGGAGTATTCCAAGGAGAAATAATTTGAAGATTAGGAGAGAAATAATGACAGGAGAAATAATTTGAAGCCAAGATCCCAACATGGAGTCCCAAGTGATATTGAATCATGTCACTATTAAACTGTTAGGTCAGTGCTTCATTCCCTTTTTTGGGAGGGAAGTGGGAGGAGTAT